GGGGGGGGGGGGGTACACATACCTTGAAGGTACGGGTGGCGGTGGTCTCTGTGGTTTTGCAGTAACTGATTTCCTACGTGTAGGCTCAATCATGCTTATCCTTCTCGCCTCCTCTCGCTCTCTTAAGACTTCCCTCCGCGCGACACTGACAGAGCTTCTCCTTCGGTTTTCTTCATCGTCAGCTTTCTTCTGTTGTTCCTTCCATGCTGCCTCCTCTTTTTTCATTTCATCGTCCTCTTTTTTTTTTCGCGCCTCTCGTACCTTTCTCAAACTCACATAAATCTCCTGCGCTCGTTTAGTTTCATTTTCCAACAGTTCTTTTTCTCGGCGTTCTTTCTCTGCTTTTCTTTGTTGTAAGCGCTCTATTACTTCTCTTTGTTTTTTCTCTGCTTCTTTTTGTTGTTCTTCCACCCTTCGTTTCTCTTCTTCCAGTTTCCGAGCTTTTTCCAGCGCTTCCTATAACACACGATAAAACAAAAAGTCAAATTCCATCGAGCACTTAGTGTTGATTCAACAAAGACTACACAGATTCCCTGAAACGATTGTCACTCAAAACTCTGCTGCTACAGAATATAGGTTTTGGTTTCCCCTCAGGCCCATTAAACGCGAAAACTCAAAAAAGCTCGGTGGGCTCATCAAATCGCACCTTTAGTTGCATTGTCAGGTAAAGGTGATGCGTAGGTATCATTCATGACTTGAAAATGTGTTACCATTCTTATGAAAGAATGGGAAATGAATGAAGGTAGTTCCAAACAAGCAGCACTGTAAGTTTTTCCCTTACGGAAAGGACCGTCAATAAACAATTTAAAACCAAAACTTATCTCGTGACCTGCTCGCGCCTCTGTCTTCTTGCCTCCTCCAATGCTCTTTCCCTTTCTTTTCTCTCTTCTTCAGCTTTTCTTTCGGCCTCTTCAGCTTTCTTTCGAGCAAGTTCTTCCTCTTGCTTTCTTTTCTCCAATTCAATTCTCTTCTTTTCTTCATCGGCTTTTCGTTTTTCTTCTACTGCCTTCCATTTCTCTCGTACTTCAGCTTGTCTTTTCTCCTCCTCCTCCTCCTTTTTCCTTCTTTCCTCCTCTCTCCTGCGCTGTTCCTCTTCTCTTTTCATTCTCTCCTCTTCTTGACGTTTCCTTTCCTCCTCCTTCCTTAGCTCCTCCGCTTTTTTAGCAGCAAGTCTTGCTTCCTGCGGCATCAACACAAAACTAATCATTTCTTTCGGTCTCGAACAGGCAAATGTATTGTGTGGTGCTCTCTCTTACTCCTCTCAAAAAAAAAAAACAGGACACTTATCGATGACAGATAAAATTGCATACATGATTACTAGTACATTGGCCACAGAGATCCTCCTTTAACATAACTTATTGAATGGAAAACTAAACAACCCACCGCCTTCAGGTTAAGTATTTATTTCCAGAAGCATTAAAAAAAGCCCCTATCCTTAACGACATGTCCTCAAAATGCGACTATAATTCGAGGGTGGTTCTCCTCAAAGGAGAAACGTTAAAAAGGCATAAACATACAGTAATCAATTAAGCATACGAGCAAGCATCGAGTCTGTATATTCGCCCTAAGCCGATCCAAGATTAAAAATTACCACAAAGATCCTTGAGCTCAATTGAAAAAAAAAAAAGGGACTGCAAAGTAAAGAAAGAAAAAAAAAGGCAGCCACGTAAAAGCGAGCTGACAAAACATAACTACATACTATGAAAACATACTAAAATGTATATTTTGCAATTTGCAAAGTTATTAAACCTAAGAGGCAGCATCATAACAGAGTTTTCATCTTTCCTGACCTCTTCGAGTCTTTTCCTTTCAGCTTCTCTTGCAGCCGCTTCCTTGGCCAACCTTTCCTCTTCTTCCTTCAGTTTCCTTTCTTCCTCCTGCCTCTCAAGTTCCTTTCTTTTTATCTCTTCCATTTCTTTATGTGCAAGTTCCTTTGCCTTCCTTTCATCTTCTGCTGCAGCTTCTAATTCCTTCTCTGCAAAATCATTGATAGTAAGTGATATTATTAGAGCTGCTAAGTACATAGCAGTTTGAAATAAAGTAATCGTTGCTTTAATCATTTCCTAGTAGCCTGGGTAACTAGCATGAGTTGAGTGCTTTTCACTAATGGTGATGAGAAAAAATGAAGAAGTAATATTATTATTCATCAGAAATCTACTAATTATCACCAAAGATTTTTATAGGATGGGCATTCTTACCAAAAACGCAAAAACGTTCTAAGTTTTCACATTTTGTTTGTACAATAATTATTAACAAAAATTCTGAGCTTTTTAAAAAACCACTTAGTGTCTCTTCCTCTTCTTTCTAGCTAGGGAACGAATTCCAATGTTGGGAACTAGGTATATGAAAAGTATTGAACATTGTTCTTCAGAAATATTTAGTAGCCAGCTATAAGAAAGTAATAGCTGGCTGGTTAAAATTTATAAAGGGTGATAGTTTCTAAAGAAACTGTTTGGGGCTGCGTCGGTGGGGGTAACGAAATAATTTGAATATATATCAACAAAGTTGAAATGGTAAATTGGTCACCGTTACGATTATAAAAGCTGACGTTTCGAGCGTTAGCCCTTCGTCGGAGCGAATGTNGAAGACTAGGTGACCGATTCCGAGAACACCTTCGCGACGTGGAGAGGAATGACAAGGACACATCGAAACCAGTCGCTAGACATTTTAATTTACCTAACCATTCTAAGCAACACATGGCAATCTGCGGTCTTTCCTTACACTTAGGTAGCACGGAAAGCCGGAAAACTCTTGAACAAAAGCTCATCTTTCAAACCGGCAGTCTAAATCCCACAGGTATCAACGAACGCTTTTCATTCCACTAATTTATTCGTGTTTTTCTCGTTGCCATGTTCCCACCAATCACGTAGCTCCTTTTTCTGCCTTAAAAAGCACACACAACCCACAATTCCCCTATTCGCTCCGACGAAGGGCTAACGCTCGAAATGTCAGCTTTTATATGGTTAAAATGTAACTCAGCTCAAGACACCTTTACCATGTGGTCTCTTTCAAGCAGCCAACCCTTAAGAATGAATGGCTGGTGCAAAATGCATACCATGGGTGTATTGTAATAATTTCTTCTGGAGAAACAATTGTATGAAATTTGCAAATGATGTACTTGTTGACTGTCTTACTTTCTCACAACTTCTTTAGGTTCAAGAAATTTAATTTAAACAAGCAGTAAAACTTCTACTCCTGAAAGACAACCTCTCCAGTCAGTAAAAGTTCTGTTTCTTGAAAAGACAAGCTGTTGTACCAAACAAGCCAAGTTTTGTACAAAGTAAACAGGTGAGGAAATTAACTCACTTACTCTTCAACACTGCCTCAAAATCTTGTTTGCCATCTTCACCTTCTCCCAGCACCCAAACCCATGGATTTCCATCAACAGCAATCAAAAATTCTACACGTTTTGCATTTGCTAGGGGAGAGAAATCAAATCAGTTAGTTGTGAGGACAAATTATTACTTTTTGGTACCTTGTAGGAAGCAGTATCAAGATTATATGTAATTTTATTATTTTTCTCTAAAGCTGCATATCAAATTGCTTGCTATAAGGCTTTACTCTGACATCTTAGAAAATATGCTTTCTAATCAAAATTCTCCATAGCATTTGCCATGACTTGTTTTTATGCTTTGTAGCTATGGTGCACTTAGTTTGTTTGATAGGATGAGTGAACTATATGCTCAAGTCAAGCACAAAATAAGCCTGCTATACATGCACTGCACTCATTTGAATGCAATGTACAAGTACACCCATGGAGATACCAGATTCCCCCCACCCCCACCTGGAAAAAAAAAAAACACTACAAGCTCAGGCAGCACTGTACCTTTCTGTGGACGTGGTTTTGGTGGATTCACTGCTTCTTTCTTTTCCAGTTCCTCTTCTCGTAAACGCCATCGGCGTACTTGCTCCTCCCGCATTTTTACAAAAAGAATCTGTTTTTGTTCTTCTGGAAGCTCCGCCAGTACCTCAGGATCTACGTACATATCTCGAAGAATTTGGGCCAACATCGTGATCAGTAGCGTAATCAGGTCACTAATGCAAGAAGAGATGGGAAATTTAAAGAGGCATTAAGGAAAATATTCCAACAATAATGGTACATTCTAACACAAAAACTATGGTTCCCTTCAACTCACAACTATTCAAACTTAAAAAGTTAAAAAAAAAAAATAGGTAAGCAAGCGTATAGTTCCTGGAGTCTTAAGGGGGGAAACAAGAAGGAGAGAAAGATCCATTAAAATGTGTGACATGCAATCCTTATGACTCTGCTTGCTCACCTGAGGTTAAAAACATTTGACTGACTTGTGAAAAAATTCAGGCCAAATATCTCAACCCTTACCAGTAAATGAGCATGAAATGAGCATGAAATGAGCATGAAAGGATTCAGTGAGAACTGACTTTCCTTAGTCATCATACCAATGCTTAAAGTCAAATTATTTCAAATATGATGCTCAAATTTCTTTCCATAAACAACATTCCTGTAGCAAAGCACAAGCCATGGAATGCTGTCAAATGAGGTAAATTGAAACTTTAAGAATGGATTCTTAATATCAGCTAATGATAAACATATCTTTCTCACAGTCTGCCGAGAGTCTCTCAAGTATCTTTTCTTTAATTATTCAATTAAAGTAACAGTCTGTAACAGTCTATTTACAAACCCTCTATCTAATCCCAAGAACAAAGTACTTCGTGTGATTGATAAAAACTACAGAGAGTTTATCATGGGTGTAAGGTATGGCAAGAAATAATGAACAATCTTCCAAGTTCTTTGAAGAAAATTTATTCTTTGTTTATCTCAAAGCTACAAGTGGCCATTGGCTGAAAATAACATAACATTACATATACTTTATTAAAGTGTCAAGGTATTTAGCTAGGGAAGCTAATTGGGGACACTTCTAGATATAACATATAAAATATTAATCATGAACAAAAATATAATTATGCTAATATGAATAGGTAGTAAGAATTAAAATTTAATTAAGAATTAATTAAATCAAGAATCAAGAATGTTATGTATAAATGAGTAATTAAGTTAAGAAATTAAACTAAATTAAAAACGTAGCAGTAATAACATTGCTATGATATACAAGTGTGACAGCTAGCTGCAGGTTCCATCCAGCACATCTGAAACTTTAATGCCCCGAACTGCTCTTTTAAAATCATTGAGGCTTGTCTTATTTCGCAAGTCTTTGTCCATTTTGCTCCTGAGATAGGGACCAAAATATCTAATACTATGTTTACCATAGTTAACAGTGTTAAATCAAGGTAATGGGAAATCATTATTACACAAATTATAACTCTTGGATTGCTTGTAAAATATGTCACAATTATATTTGGGTACCAGTAAGTTTTTAACCTTATGCACCAATATCAATATGTCTTGTAGACGTCTGTTTACTAGGCTTGGCAGTTTTGCCTTGCTTAATAGTTCATCATGCGTTGCTGTCTAATACTATTGTATACTGCACGCAGTACCCGCTCTTGTACTCTTTCAAGTTTTCAGATGCTTTCTAGTTTCAGATGCTTTATAGAAGTGCAGCCACACTGTATGACAATATGTTAGATTAGGTAGGATTGCTGCTTTGTATAGTTGGAGATTGGCTTCTGTAGGGATCATCTTTCTAAGGTGTAACTTTCTTGCTTGCCTGTTTGCATATATCATTTGTGTGTTTACTAAATTTATTTTACCATCCAGTGTAACCCCAAGCAATTTAAGGTCTGGGGTAGACTCGATAGTTATATATCCATCAATGTTTACATTTATCGACCGGTCGCTGTTGTTCCCTGTACTTATCGGTAATTGTGAAGAAGAGCTCCCCAAAAAACCTGTCGGCCGACTGTCGGCCGACAGGTTTTTTGGGGAGCTCTTCTTCACAATTACCTACTTATCAACATTGCATTGAACTTATCATAATTTCCCTTCAGGAAATTATCCCTATACCATCTAGATATTTTTTGTCCCTCATCATTGAGTAATTGTTCTACCTGTTCTACTGAGTTTCCTGTAACGTATAGCTGATGATCATCTGTGTACATCGACAAGCTTGCATTGTTCACCATGTAAGTCATATCATTTTGGAAGATGTTCCATAGTAGCGGGCCAAAAGCCGATCGTTGGGGGCAACCTCTAACAACCTGCTTCCAAGCACTTAAAACTGAATCCAGTTTCACTCTGTATTTTCGATTGGCAAAGTATGATCTTATCAATTTTAAAGATCCCTCTCAGAAACCGTCTGCCTCAAGTTTGTTCATGATCAGTGATGGATGAAGAGAGTCAAAAGCCACGGTCATGTCTGTTGAAAGTACTCCAACACTTTGCTTGTAATCTGTAACCAGCTTCCACTCTTTGGTTAATATCAGCAAAGTTCTTTCACAGCTATAATTTTTTCTGTATGCTGACAGGCAAGGATCCAGTATGGTATGAAAGTGGTTATTTACTTGTTCACTCAACAGCTGCTTATAAATTTTGTCTACTGTACAGAGTAGGGTTATGGGGCAATAGTTCTTCTCATCTAATCGATCATCCTTTTCAAAAAATGGATTCCATTCACCTTCCTTCCATGCTTCTGGCCATTCCCCTTCATGCATGCTTTTGTTATATAGCTTCGTCATTCCCCTTCATGCATGCTTTTGTTATATAGCTTCATCAAAGAGTCTGTAATACTGCTTGATGCTTAGCTTTACCATATTAGGAGTGATTGAATCGTAACCAGAGGCCTTTCTGATGTTGAGTTTCTCAAGGGCTGACTGCACCTGGTTGCTTTTAAAGGGGTTAAATTTGAAACTGCCATGCATGTTCTTATTTGCATTCAATATATTTGAGACACTTTGGTGGTTTGAGAAGTCTCCTTCTGTTAAGCTGTTGACATCTCTCCCACGTATCTGCCATCGTGGAGAAGTAATTTGCTAAGATATCGGCTACCTTATTTATTTATTTTTATCAAATAACACATCACTGCCATGCCAACTAACAGTCCATCATTAACGCTCACCATGTTTTAGAACAGTTAATATCACCATGTGATTGTCACACTTTGTCTTGTGACCTTCAACTTATAAAGACGTGCAAAACCAAACTCATTGATAAGAAGCCTTGATGAACTAGGCTCCAAATTATTTTCCTAAGATTAGACAATCTTTTTAAAAATAAGTTTACCTTTTGTATATGCAATTAAGCACATTGGAATGAGGCTGAGCTCATGAAGATTATAGATGAGTTTGATGTCTCAGAAGTTTAATAGTAAAATATTTTGATTTTTACTTGTGCCCAATCCAACATTTCACAAATAATTGATTGTGCTACAGAAAAACTGACAAAATGTCCATTTTTTTTTCTGTTTTTTGTTTTGTTTTTTTTTCTGTATTTTTTTCTGTATTTTTTTTTTGTTTTTTTTTTTTCTTTGCCCTGCAGTTACTCATGTGTAGTAATATGTGCCTTAGCTTACCTACTTCAAAGACAGACTACAGAATTTCTGGACTGAGCAGATCACTTTTGTGCAGCTACATGCACATCTCGTTCTGCATGAAACACAGCTTTTCAGATGTGTACCAGAACTTCTTTACATATTTATTCATGCATAAAACTTCTCACCTATTAGCTAAATCTGAAAACTACAAAATACAAATTGCAGTCACACTATTAGTTGTTCTCAAACTTACTCTTGAGAGAGAGAGTAAATGAGAAAAAAGAGGGAATGAAGGCTATTTGCCACTTACTTCATTTCTCTACTAAACTTATGATTATTTTATGACAACTAAAGAGCTGTTTGTAAGAGGATAGACATTACTCACAGTTCATTCGATTGTCTGTTCTTTAAGGAGCATTCCAATATACAGGAAGATGATTGAGATAAAACTCAGTACAAAAGAAAGAACAGCAAAGACAATGATGCAACAGATCACATTATTATGCATTCCTGGTCTCCATTACAACTTGACTTGATCCTTATTTCTGAAAGAAACAAAGAAAAAACAAAATAAAAAGGGTTTGTCATTCAATTATTTCCATCGATCAGTATTTTATATCAATCAAGTTCACTGTTTCATATAAATGTAAACCATCTAACTAAATTAATTAAAATCTTGAAAAATAAATAAACTACCAGCTCTAAGGAATAACCATGCACAAGGCAGGTAAATTAGCTCGAGTTATTCAGTCTATATACGTCCATACTGCGGTTCAATTTAATAAATTCTTATCCTTTTCTTTCTGTATGTGATAACAAGTCAATGAAATACCAGAAAATACAAATTCAACCAAAGAGTTGTTACGATGGAGTAAGAGAAGGAAAATCCCAACAACATGAGAAATCTTCTTGGCCCCTGTAGATTGCAATCCACTCAAACAAAATAGAATTACGACAACTAACATTACTGATAGAAACAATTCAAACTTGACAAAGCAACAATCAATCCATTCATTTCTTATACATAAACATTTAGGAAAAATGTCAATATGTTGGTTTCAGTATTGAATTATATGGAGTACATCTGCAATTTATAGAGACAGAAGATATCAGTGACAATTATGTTTAAGAGCAATTAAGCCTCAAATATTTAAAATGATTATTCTATAATCATCATAATGCAATTAATTCCCCATGTGGCCTAATGTTTGCTGTCTGAAACATTTTGTTTTCACTGAAATTGCTTTCTCTCCCAGATATTGAAAAAAAAGCTCCCTGAAACATGTCAGTGTTATATGAACAAAAAAATTTGAAGGAGATTCTCACTAAAAATGACAATCAAATATATTGATAAACAGGTGTTACCCTTACTGACTTCCCCCTGTTACAGACTGCAGACACTTACTGTGGGCTCAAGTAACATCTTCATAGTACTCCTCTCATTAGTTGGATTAATTTGGACATATTTGAAGACAAATGTAATTCTGACATTTCAGAATGTTAACTAGACAGCATTTTCACCCGCAGGTAATTAAATGTATCACCATAAATGTTTACTAAAGATAAAGGAAGCAGATGATTTTAAAATAAATTTTATGGCAGAAAACAATTGTATAATATTTCACTTTCAAACCAAAAACAATGTCATTTCACTTGGGCCATGAACACCGAGTGGCACTCTAAAGGTGTTGCCCAGACCCATCCCATGGTGAGTTTCAATGTGTTAAACCCTACCCTTGTGGCAATTCTGGTTTTGACCAATACCTTTTTTAAAAAATTTGAGCTTTTAAGACCCTCCACCCTTGTATAGTGGAACCCGGTTAATATCACCACCAATGGGCCAAAACAAATTAGCACTAGAGGCTGTATCAATGGAGTGAAATTATGAAGGAGGATTCTACTGTTTGGGATTTTAAATGTAGCTATTGGCCATATTTATAAGTGACCACATCAATGAGAGGTTTTTAAAAAGAAAACTTATGACCATTTTCTCTGTTTGGTCATGAAGAGAAAATAACTGATGATGGATTGCAATTGAAACAACAAACAAATCAAACTGCTATCCTTCCTCGTACCACCAGTGCAACAATGTAACATCAAACTAATCTCATAGCAACTAAAGGTATTGTTCATCAGACAATTTGACAAACACTGGTTTTAAGCATTAATTTTTGTGATCTTTGGCTGAAAAAAAAATAATTTCAAAAATCATCTATAACATAGACTAAAATGACAACTGCTACTTCCTGCAAAATTATGATCATTTTGTTGTTTAATTTTCCACTGTCTGCTAAAATGTCCTGAAATCAATTTGATTACTACAAACTGTTCCCAATCAGAAAACCCATGCTGAGAATATTTAAAAATCAATAAACCTACATCTTAATTTTTAAGCTTTGAATGTCGATAAATTATTGACAGGTTGTACAGACTGATTCAATGCAAAACCACTAATAATCAAATTTCGTGATGTCATCTCAACCTTGCCAAACTTCCTCGAGTAGAATATTCGAACATGATTTTGAATTTGCTGTATGTTTCGAAGATTTTTAATGATTGAGCTAAAGAGTGTAGTTGCTAGATAAAGTACATAC